TCCTTGCCAGCTTCTCTCTGGCTTCCTCTCCCCGGCACCAACACCGATGTGTTTTTGCCCAAGGGGGAGAGCAAGAAGGAGAAGCAGGTGCAGAGACTGCAGTTTCCATACTGGGAGCCTGGGCAGGAGCTGCCGCCACCACCCTGCTGCCCTTCCTGGCTGTCGTGGGCCAGTGCTGCTCCCAGGGCGAAGGCAAGAAGCCAGGCACTCTGCTCAGCCACTCCAGGTGCTGTTGGAGACTGGTCTGGGGAGAGTGGGCACTGGAGGCTCCTCCCTGCCTCTCTGGCAGGGTCTCACATCCCCCTGAGCCCTGCTTGGGTTATGGGTCAAAAGGACATAGTCTTCCCATGTCTGTGTCTTCTCTCCACCCTGTTCTGTCCTCAGGGATATGGCAGGAGTCACCCCCTTCTTGCTTGGGCCCAGGCTGACGGGTTGACCAAGTGCCCAATGTCCCTTCCTAGTCTCTGGAGGTTGGGTTTCCCACGCAATGTCTCTGGACATCCCCCCACCAGCCCACGCCCCACCCCACCGTGCCCCATCTAACTCTAGGTCAATTGCAGCAAGGGCGCCACCCAGCTGGGCACCTTCCTGGCCATGGAGCAGCTGCTGCAGCAGGCAGGGGCTGAATGCACCGTGGATGTCTTTAACGTGGCTCTGCAGCAGTCACAGGCCTGTGGCCTCATGACCCCAATGCTGGTGAGAGGCGGTCAGGGGCTCAGCTGTGGGAATGGGCGTGGAGCTAATGGACCACTTGGGCAGCCACCAGGTGGCGCTGTGGACCGCTGCACTGTCTCAGGTGGCGCCCGGGGGTTAGGAGACCCAAAAGTGAAATTCTTCCTGTTAGATCTGGGCCAACAGGGTGAGGCTTCTTACCCCGTGTCTACTCCCAGGAGCAGTATCTCTGCTTCTACAACTGTCTGAACAGTGCGTTGGTGGACGGGCTGCCCCGAGTCAGCACTGGTCACTGTGCTGTGTTGCAGCAGAGGTGGTCAGTGCCCTACCAGGCGGGGAGAGCCAACCCCAGCAAGTTCGTTCAGGCCTGGCTCTCCTGGCAGGGCAGCCTCCGCTGGGCCCTGTGCTGTGAAGGGCCAGAGTTGGGAAATAAAGATGCGATCAAGCCTGAGGCTGTGTTGTGTCTGTCTGTCCTCTGACATGGGGCCCAACACATGGGCCTGTGGGCGGGGCTGGGAGCCGGGCCTGGGTGACCCATGGCTGGTATGCTGCTGGATTTCCCCCCAGAGCAGCCATCTCTCCGCTAATCCTTCAGTTTCTCAGTTTCCTCAGACTTTGGTCTTTCCGCCTCTGGTTTTCTGTGGTGCTTAGCCCCAGATTCAGAATCCCAGTTCCTCGTTCCCTCTCTGCCCCCACTACCCCGTATGCAGTAGGACTTGTCCTGTTGCCCGCTTCCCCTCTGCCATCCCCAGCCTGCTGTACCTGCCAGAGACCAGGGGCTACGCTAGGTCCCTGCCAGGGTGGACCTGCTGGGCCACTCTGTGTCTGGGAATGTAAGCGGTGGAGGCATCCCTTGGGCGGAGTTGCCAAATGTCCCCAGTTCTTTCACTTCCTCCTTCCTCCCCTCCACTCAGGAAGAGGCAGGAGAGAAAGCAGTGAGGGAGATGCAAAAGAGAAAATCCAGGAACAGAAGCAGAGACCAGAAAAGAGAACAGGGTGCCATTGCCTGTCCCACACATTCAGTCCTTGGGGGAGGACTAACCCCGTTCTGGGAAGGCTCCTGATTGAGCAAAAAGCACCACCTCTGTTCCCCTTCTTCAGCCAGGCCTGAGAAGGACACCTCTCTGACCTCTATACATCAGTAAGAGCTCAGGTTGGTCTAGGAGCTCTACCCACTTCCCGGGGCCCTCCAACAGGGTAAATCAATACCTAATGTCAGAAGGAACTTGGAGGGCCCCTGGAGAACACAGAGAAAGCCTGGCCAAAGAGCAGGAGTCCCTGAAATGGAGCAAGCACCTCTCTCCCAAAGTGGGGAAGTGGGTAGACATCCTGGTTGATGTCCTCTTCATATACTGTTTATCAGGAGTCCAAGGGGCTGGCCCCCCTTACGTGGACAGGCTGGAGGCTCCGCCCTGAGCTGCCCAAGCCTGTCTCAAACGGGTGTTGCTGAGGTGGCAACGGGGCCCCGCCATGGTTTTTTCAGCCTGGAGTAGCAGGAGCTGCCAACGAGTGGGGGTGGAGCCCAGGCCATGGGTGCCTGAGGCTGGAAATGCGGACCTACCCGAGGGGGCTTTCGGCTACAGGGCAGAGGTGGCTCCACCTGTGAGCCTTTCTGGTTATGCTGGGCCCTCTAGGGAGGCTTGTTTTCTACTGCCCTGGCCATGGCCCTGACTGGAGGCCTGGGGTCAGTGTCTACCTGCTTCTTGGTCCTGCTGCGTAGCCCCCGGCCCTGGGAGGTCAGTGGAGGGTGGAGAGGCGTTGATGAGAAGGTCCTGGGCATGGAAGTCTGTGGTGGACAATCCCTGCTGCCTCTGAGGTCCCAGGCTTCTGTTGTAGACTCCGGAGGGACTGTGGTGAGGAAGGGCAAGAATGGAAGGAGGAAGGCTCACAGCCAGCTCTAGCTCTGCTGGGGCTTGGCGGCACGGGGGAGACCAGAGAAAGCACGAGGTGACGTGAAGGAAGCGCAGCCGGCCCACTGTCGTCCAAGGAGAGGACAGGGCTTGGCCTCAGTCTGAACCACCCTTCCCCCCACTCCCCGCGGTTCTGGGCTGGCCGGGACCCACGCTGGTGGGACTCCAGCCTCGGGGCGGCTGAGCTGGCGGCGCCCACCTGCCGCCTCCCAGCAGGCTCCCGCAACCCGCAGTGCAGATCGCAGCCCCCCGGCTGCCCTGGGTCCGCGAGCAGGGGTCCCGGTGGTCCCGGGCTTTCAGCCCGACAGGCTGCAAGAGTGCGTCTCCATCCGGGGTACACTCCGCGGGTGGAACTCCACACTGACTCCTTCGGCGTGTCTTCGGCGAGGAGGCGCCTCCTGGCTGCCCTCTGCCCCTCCTCCCCGCTTGCCGTGGGACCCTCGGCCCGGCCCCTCCGCGACAGCCCCTCACTCCCCGCGCCCCTGTCCGCGGGACACGGTGAGGAGGGCCGCCCCGCGTTTTTCAGTCCCGGGGCTCTCCGCATCCGCTGTGTGACTCTGAGCAAACCGTTTGTCTGGGGTCTCAGTTTCCTCCGGGGCAGAGCGCGGTGGGGGGCTCGTGGGCCGTCTAAGGCCTCCTTCAGAGGGCCTCCTCTGGGTCCGATGACAGCCGTGGCTGTCCCCAAAGGCCAGAGGGTCCCAAGCCCCACCGGCCCAGGCCCCGGGCACCCTTTCCAAGCAAGCGTAGGTCCCTGACGCGGAGTTTCGCTCGCTTGGGCTTTTTTCTGTCTCCCCCCACCCACCTTTTTCCCTTTCCCGGATGAAATTCCTGCCAGCTCGGAAGGAAGGAGGGAAGGGGAGCGCGCCGCAGCGTAGAAAGTTTCCTTGACTCCTCCTCCGCCTGGGTCTCCCTCCCTTGCCAAGCCCAGCCTGTGAAACCGAATCGCGAAGATCACTCAACAATGCCTGCCCCTCTCTGAGTGCTCGGTCCCCGCTCCCGCCGCCGCCGCCGCCGCCGCCG